CAGCATCCCTCACCCATCCTCCCAGCATCCCCCTCTCCCATCCTCCCAGCATCCCTCACCCATCCTCCCAGCATCCCCCCCTCCCATCCTCCCAGCATCCCTCACCCATCCTCCCAGCATCCCCCTCTCCCATCCTCCTATCATCCCTCACCTCTCTCCCACCCTCCCACCTCCTCATACTTTGAGATGCACGGGAGGAGGAGATTAGGTGACGTGTTGTGCGTGTGTGTTGCAGGAGCAAGCGAGACTTTGATATGGGATTCCAGCGAGGCTACGCAGGCAACCAGCTGGCTAAGCACCTACTCGGTCTCAACGCAGCCAGCTACGCGTCCGGCCCCGGAAAGCGCTGAACACTCACCCTCACTACTCACCCTCAACCCCACCCAAAGGTATGCCACGCCCCAACCCCCTTTCCTAAGATATGCCCATTCTCCGACCCCACCCTAAATTATGACCCACCCTTCGACCCCGCACCCTAAGGTATGCCCGTCTTCCGACCCCCACCCTAAGGTATGCCGCGCCCCGACCCCCTCACTACTCACCCTCAACTCCCACCCAAAGGTATGCCACGCCCCGACCCCTTCCCTAAGGTATGCCCAACCTCCGACCCCCACCCTAAGGTATGCCCATTCTCCGACCCCCACCCTAAGGTATGCCCCAACCTCCGACCCCCACCCTAAGCTATGCCATGGTATGGTCCGACTCCCACCCCAAGGCATGGTAATTTCATCTAATTAGTTTCCTTTGATATAATAATTATGGATCGCGAACTCTTGAACTCAGACAAAAAAAATAAAGTAATGATTTATATAGATTAATCGTATTATTTGGTGCTACGTTAACAGCCATAGCAAAGGATAAGAAACCTAATCTGTCTAGGCCGCTAGATGGCGGTGGTACTGGATGTCGTCTCTCTAACCTCTTGCTGACCTTTCGTGATTTGCAGTCGCAGATTTCTACCGCATTAACAAGAGACTAGATGTCGGACGTTTCCAGTGCATCGCATCCCTGCTGATCCCTGCCTCCCGCCAGAGTGCGCCACGCTCGTTTAGCGCGAACAATCATTTGTTCTATTAGATAGGCGTGTCACGTGACCGTCGCTCGTTGCAGTCTGTTAAAAAGACGAAAAGCGCGAAGAGCAAAAAAAAATATGTGTGAAAAATAATAAATCGAACGGATGTCAAGGTTATAATAGTTGAATATAGTTGTTCTATAATTCACCGCTACCGTCGTCGGTCGCTACCAGGCACGGTGGCGCCCTCTATAATAAACAGCCGACGACATACGACAGCCGACGACATTGGAGAAACGTGTAACGTAGGGGGCGCGACGTGCGACCGTGATACCGACGTACTGTAGCCGACGACATCTGATGATGACCTTGTGTTTGTCATTCTTTGCCGACGTCGTTTCCCTCACCTGTATACGTGCAATTTATGCTGATTTTAAGCTCACGTGACCTTACGTCTCTGTATAGAAGCTTACAGCCAGTTAAACATCACTTACTGGTGACATTCATAGACGCGACATGTCACCAGTAAACACGCACCGCGCTATTATAGACACAGCTAGTCATCATCATTATTATTATTATTATTATTATTATTATTATTCCGGTTAGCTCCTAGATTGTAATCGAGTTCAAACGAATAAGTGATTATCGTGCATGACGTCATTATCGTGCATGACGTCATTATCGTGCATGACGAAACGAGAAAATTTGTCGGACAGGATCACGTGTCAGTCACGTGTGTGTGTAGAATGTACAAATGCTCTTCAGTTGTCCGTCTGCCATCATTTCCCGTACAGCAATTATCAATCGTGAAATGTGCAAACCATAAAAACTTCTTCTTTCACAAACTGCACGGCTGCAATTGTTTTCTTATTACTACTGGCGATTTTTTTTTTGATGTTTCGAAACTTGTCTGTCTCTCTGCTCAGCTGATCGGACATCTCTGATTAATGAATTATTTCTCATTAATAAGCTATGGTATCTGTCCAGCATAATTATCAACGCTTCAACGCTAAGCGGCTCAAGTTATAGAGACAAAGAGTAAACCAACTGCTGTGTACTTAATCCTCGCTAGTTCTGCTCTATATATTACGTGCGTGATATATATGACACGCCGCGACTCGTCGTGACTTAGAAAGTGGCTTCAAAAAATCAATAGTTGTTAGACACACATGTAGCCGATATATATATATATATATATATATATATATATATATATATATAACGAAGCAGAGAAAGAGAGAGAGATGAGACGAGGAGAGAGAAGAGAGAGAAGAGAGAGACGAGAGAACACACACACATTAGACGAGGAGCAGAAGATTATAGAGAAATGCACGAGATATAGAGGAGATGAGAAGATATAGAGAATGAGAAATATAGAGAATGATGAGATATATGAGGAATGAAGATATACGAGAATGAGAGAGATAGAGGCGGAGCGGAGCGAGGATCTGTATGTTCAATACTAGGGGCGTAGTAAATACCGCACCAAGGTGGCAGCAGCCGTCATAGGCAGTCGACGTGTACAAATTTATCGCCATGCATGATCAGGAAGGACGCTACTACCGGTGACAAGCACCGTATCTGTTAGTTATGTGTGTGCCTGTGTGTGTGTGATGTGTGTGTGAGTGGTGTGTGTGTGTTGTGTCCCGTGTGTTGTCGTTGTTGTTGTGCTGTGTGGTGTGTGTGTATGTGTTGAGTGCAGTGTGTGTGTGTGGTGTGTGTGATAGTGTGTGTCTGTTGTGATGTGTGTGTGTGAGTGGTGCGTGTGGCGAGTGTGGTGTGCGTTAAGGGTCCGTGCGGACCCGCTCTTGTCGGTGTGCCGTGCTGCGTCCTGTGGCGCGTGCGTGTGTGCTGTGCTGTTGTTGGTGTGTGTGTGGTGTGTGTGAGTGGTGTTGTGGATGTGTCGCTGTGTTGCTGCGCGTGTGTAGCGAGCGGTGCTCGTGTAGTGGTGTGTGTGTCGTGTGTGTGTTTGTTGTAGCTGTTGTGAGTGTGTAGTGTGTGTGTGTGTGTGTGTGTGTGATGTGTAGTGTGTGTGTGAGTGTATCTATGTGTAAAGCGTGATGTTTGTCCATTCCTTGTTTTGTGAATGTCCAGGCGTAAGCAACAAGGCGTCGGCCTCTTATAAAGCAGAGAAAATTTTGTAGCCGACGTTCAAACGCTATATATAATATATTATCAGGCGCCGCCTCCAGACAACAGACATTGCAAAGAAGCTAAACAACAAAGCAATTTACGGCGTCGCGTTCGTACCTGCGCGGTTGCAATAACAACAAACACGCCTAAGACCCGGAAAGAACTGTCATATCGTAACGGCAACCCATTTCCCCATACACGTCGTCCAACACCACACACCACACACACACCACACACCCACACACACCAACAACAACACACAAGCACACACACACACACATCACCACACACACACAACACAACACAACACCACACACACCCACAACGTACCACGCACCACACGCACAACACTCATGCCACGGCATACACTGCCGCCTACATGCATGCAACACACTTATCACATACACACACGTCACACACCACAGACACCATGCTCACACACACTCACACCATTACACACACACACACCACCCGGCACGCAACGCACACACACATACACAGACAAGACACACAGGACAGACAGACACATGCATACACACACAGAGACAGACACACATTACGATATACTAGATACACACACACACACACCCTACACACACACACCACACACACACACCACAACACACACTGACAACACACAACACACACACACAGCATCACAACACAAACCACACACACACACACACACACTACGCTCACACACACGCGCGCACTACACACACACACACACACACCACACACACCCACCAACACAAACACAAACACACACCCAAACAGCACACATCCACCACAACACATCAAAACACTGCACACCCACAACACTCACACACACACCACACACACACACACACACACCAACACACACAACACCACACACACTTCACACATTACACACAACATCTCACCACCACGCACACACACACACACAACACACAACACTCACAACACGCTCACACCACACACGCTACGCCACACACACACCACACGACACACCACATCCACACCACAACACACACACACGCTTCACACACACACCACCAACATTCACACCCACAATCACCACACCGCACGCACACACCACAAAACACCACATACACACACGCTTCACACACGCAGCACACCACACACCACACCATCACATCACACACAACACCCCGCACACACGCACACACGCACACACACACACACACACACTACAACACACACACACCACAGCACGACTCAAAAACTCACGCACACACACTACACGCTACACACGCTCAGCACCACACACTAACACGCACACACATCACACAGCACACCACACACGCCACACACGGGGGGGGGCGCACACACGACACACACACACACCACACGAGCACACACTACACAACACACAACACACACACACACGACACACACACACACACCCGCCACACCCGCACCACACACACACACACACACACACTACACACACACATCACCACACACACACACACACACACACACACACACACACGCTCACCACCACACGCACACACATACACACACACGCACACACACAACACACACAACACGACACACACACACACACCATCACTCACAACACACACAGTGATGGGAAGCACTAGATGCTGTTTTGATGATTATTACTCGGCGTTACAAAATATTTTATTACTCTAATTCCGCTGGCATGTCACATAATTCAGGGAAATATTACCGAATATCGTAGAGCTGCGTTGTGTGTAGTGTACGTGGATACCGTAACCGTGATGGCTGTTTGTGTGTGTTTGTTGTGTGTGTTCGTGTGTTGTGTGTGTGTGTGGGTGTGTGTGTGGTGTACACGTGTGTGTGTTCGTGTGTGGTCGCGGCTGTGTGTTGTCTGTGCTGTGTGTTGTGCTGTGTGTGTGGTTAGTGTTATCTGAATGTGTGTTTACGTCCGGCATGTTTGTGTGCGTGTGTGTTGCGCGCGCCAGCGCGCGTGGTTTGTGTGTGTGTGTGATTGAGTTGTGTGCGTGTGGCTCTTAGTGTGTGTGTGGTCTGTTGCGTATTATGTGGTGGCGGTGTGTGTGTCTGTGCTGTGTGTGTGTTGGATGTGTTGTTATGTGTGGCTCATGTGTGTGGTGTGTGTCGTGTGTGTGATGTGTTCAGTTGGAGGTTACAAACTTGAAATAGCCTAATAACCTGACGGTGAATTGTGCCGGAAGTGTGTGTGGTGGATCGTGTTATGTGTGTGTGTTGGCGGCGTTGTGTGTGGTGTGTGTGTGTGTGTGTATGTGGTGTGTGTGTGTACTGTGTCAGTGTGCGTGTCTTTGGTGGGTGTGTGTTGTGTGTGTGTGTGCCGCGTGTGTGTGTCTGGTATGTGGTCGTGAATGTGTGATGCTGTATGTGTGCGTGTCGTGTGTTGTGTGTGTGTGTGGGCCCGAGACGTGCATCTTGTGTATGTGGCAGTGTGTGTGTGGTGTGTGTGTGTGTGGGTGGAGGTGTGTGTCTGTGTGAATGTGTGATGTCAGTGTGTGTTGTGTGTGTGTGTTGTTGTGTGTATGGTGTGTCGTCTGTGCTGTCGGAGCCCCGATGGATCCCAGTTGTCGTGTGCGTGGTGTTGTAGGTGTGTGGTGTCTGTGGAGTGTGAGCTGTGTCAGTCGTGTGCGTGAGTGTCTTTGTGCGTGTGCGTACGTTGTGTGTGTGTGTGTGTGTGTTGTGTGTGTCGTCGTGCCTCTTTGTGTGGTGTGCGTGTGTGTATGTGTGCGGCGCCCTTGTGTGTGTGTTGCTGACGTACGTGTACTGTGTGTGATGTGCGTACGTGTCAAGTGGAGTGCGTGACAAGTGTGTGCCATCGGCGGTGCCCGGGGGGGATGCCTGCTTTGTGGGCGTACCTTAATATGTGGTACGTGTCAGTGAGTGCGTGAGTGTGTGCTGTGTGTGTGATGCCTTTTTTTCTCATGGGTCGGTTAGTTGTGTCATGTGCAATCTCCGTTGGCCCGGTTCATTGCGGCTGCGCCGGCCCGCAGATATCTGGAAACTGTGTACAATATAACCATAAGTATAGCAAACATACATAGGGGTATAGTCAGTGAAAAGAATGCGCTTAACCCAAATAGTTTTATTCTATTAATGTATACCTTTATCATTCACATTAATAAAGTTTTAGCACATCAATAATATCAACCCACGTTTAGATGTCTATAGGTGTAAACAGCGGGACAGATAAACTGCCGGGGAAAATAATGGCCGCACCGCTGTCTCCCGTCTACTAAATATATAGTAATCAATATAGTAACTGTTGATTCTCCTATTTTTGTTCGGTTGATCTGATTTCCAACTTTATATTTACACAGTAAAATCGCCGGCCCATACATATTTTTTTCGCTAAGTATTAGTGTGGTGTGGGGCGATTACTTGATTGTGTTTTTAAGTTAGAAAACTGGCCTGTTGGTGCAGAAACAAGAGTTGCAGTCTTACATAGGTTTTTTCATCATTTAGCTTTTTCAAAGGACGGCGTGACCCGTTGTCAGACAACATCCGTAAATGTATGCTAAGTTAATGCTAAGATATGCCAAAACTTACGACTAGACTGTTAAATGCTTACGACGTATAGCGTTGACAGTAAGATCGCATTCGAGCCTATATGGAGAAACCGTACGGATAACAGGCAACTGCGTCCAAGCCTATAATGGTGGGTCGTGTGTCTGGTTGTATACATAGCTTTTCTGATTTGAATGAGACATCGTATCACAA